AAGGACCTTCCCCTTCGTCCCTGGTATGTAAGTCTACTGCCTTCGGAGTTTTTAACAGGAAATACGTGCTTCAGCTGATCGTTACCTGGATTTAGATTTTGGCTGTTCTAAGACCCTTTAACGAACTGTCACTGTGTATCGACGGTCGAAATGCACGTTTTTGACCCGGTTGTCAATCTCAAATTAGCCAAGCGATGACAGTACCTGGGTTAGTTCCAAGACTATGTGGACTATACCGGCAGGAAAAGTTCTACAGTTGGGGCATGCCAATCAGTGACATGGATATTTGGCTCACCCTAATGAGCGAAAACACCCCTACCATCTGAAAGTTAAGTGCGCCGTAAAACCTCAGTAACTTGAAGTATTAGTGTTGCAAATCTATTATCAAAAAATGCTGCCCGAAATATTGCTTTAAAGCAGTGCATTTAAGTGATCCGAAGGTGACGCTACATGCAGAATATGATGACGCCCAAACGTACGTGATTTCATTTTTAACTACGCACAGTCCCTGTATGTTTGCAAAACTTACGCTTTAATTTAGAAAACAGCCCGTCGATGATCGAATTCGCAACTCCTTAGTGTTGATTACCATGTTTTGCCTGCTTATTCGATTTAGGTTGGCGTGTTATCTCACAGCTTCGTTTTTGACTAAGCTTAAGAAAATGACTGAATTTGTGGTCAAGATTAGGGCTGAAGTCAGGATGAAGGTTACGGTGAGGATTTGGTTTGCCTGCCGCATACCAGATTGCTCAATCCGACTTCCCTAATCAATAATCTTGTATTATCTGTTTCCCGCTTGTCTACATACCACCAATTTTCATATTTTAAATTTCGCAGTGTGTTCCGGTGTCACGTTGCAGTAATAAAAGGAACATGTGACAAAAAGGCGGGCTATCTCCATGTCTTTCTCAGCTTCCGTTAATTGCTGCGTCCGTCTGCTCTGATGACAAAACTAATATTAACATCCTTCCCGTATTATAGGAGTCACTGGGCCTCACCTTCTGAGTGGACTTACATATCCAGTCCTTTCCACCAGTCCAGATCAGTCAACAAGCAGAGGTCGCTGAACGCGACCAAAGTAGATGCCGGGAGTAAATTAGCGGGAAGTTCACTCCCAAAACATCTGGTTGACGGTAACCGCATGTTTGATCCCGTAACATGGCTTAAGACCCAGCTTCGAACCCCAACTAGGCCGCTCCTAAGCTTCCCAGTGGCCAGGGTGATAATGAAATGAAAGACATACTCCGTAGTCCCAATCTCATTTAATGAGTTTTCGTCGCAGTTACAACACTCTCCCCTACCCTTGCACCTGGCCTACCGGTTGCGCTTCCGGTTGGCCTTCCGGTTGCGCTCCTATCCTATTTGACTGTCCTCGAATAGTCTCTTATTGAACTGCAACTTTTATAAATATGCAAATGTCGTTTACAGCTGCAAATTATATGGTGTAACTTCGCATGTTATTAGGTTCTGCATGTCTCGCTGCCACCTTCCTCAAATGATTTCCTAGAGGTTAGTGCTTTAAATTCCCCAGAAAAGACCCCATAGCTACGTCATTAAGCCAATTCTAATAGTCAGCTGCTTCCAACATGCCCGTTCTGCCACATTAACATCACCCATCACCGCATCACGCACACTTAAGTGGGAAGTGTGCTTCTCAGCCCCTTCTCCATGTGGCTCTTATGATGCATGTGTGATCCGAGCTTGCAATTATCGCGGTGGGCCAAACGCCGTGCTATGAAGGTTGCCGACTGACTCCTCAACTTAGTCCACGCAGTTAGTCCAGTTGGGTGTTTTGGTGTGGGTGGCGAACTGACAAACTCAGAGTCAGTCCGCAACGACCCCTTCTCAACGTGGCCTCTGATACTCCCACGCAGGTAAGGTGTTTGTATATGTGAGTAGATTCTCAGTAGACAACCGAATTGCTACGGGGCCTTCGAAGTGTGATGATCTAGGCTTCATACAGGGCTGCATCTCCCACTTGCGGACTCTAATGATCGTGTGCACATGTTATGCCACGCTTCAGCAAGCCGTCGCCCTCGCAGCCTGGTATACGTTGGCAGTTCTCTGGCATCTGATTCCCTGCCGGTGCATGCCTTTGCGCTCCTGCTGTGTATACAGTCCGTGTGCATGATTGTCCAGCTACTTGTGTCATCCTTCTCCTTCTGACCTGGCCTGGAAGGTTGCCAACTGACGGATAACTTGGACTTCTCAGTCGGCCCAGTATCTGTGTTTATGTGGAGTGACGAATTGGTAGTCTGGGAGTCAGGCTGAAATGGCTCCTTCATAGTATGGCTTCTATGACACTTCCAATCCGTGGGATCGGAGCTGGCATAGGGGCAAGCCTACGGGAATCCCCGGCCGCACCGGCCGTCGCTTTTGTTTTTTGTTGGAGTCCAAATCCTGGTCAGTGTGTATTGTGGACCAGGGTTGTATCTGCAGGCTCTCGCCGCGTCAGTTTGGGTTTCAAGCGGTCCCCCCTTCTTTGGTATATGAAATCCTGGTTATTTTTTGGATTATGGGGTGTGGTGGTTGGCCTAGGTGCGGGTCTGGGCTTGCCAGCCTCCTGTGCCCACTCCCGCCTTCGGCCTCCTGGCCGTATCTTGACAATAGGCTGAAGTGGGTAGGAGAGAGTGTGGCAGATGCTGGGCAATTTTACTACCACTTCAATCTATTTCGCGTGCAATTCTTTCTGCTTGCTCTCCTCCTGCTGTGAGGAACTGGCGGACATCGTGGAAACCGACGCTCGAACTGTCATTATGGGTCATACGGTCAGCTTATCCGCCTTAGACTCAAGGTCGTTCGAGAAAGAGGCCAGAAACGAATGCCTTTTGTCCGGTAGAAGTAGCAAACTTGCAGTAGGTATTCTGACTCATAGAAATTTACCTGAACTTTTAAAATATACCGTCGGTTATAAAGGGTTAATTAGGTAAGATCGTGTTTTTTAATTAGCGTATTGCGTAATCCCGAGATGGTTGATTCATGCCAGGATGTTGGATGTCGGTTTCACGTCATTACGGTCACCTCGAAAATTACATTCACTAAAGGTCACCACTTATGTAGCGTGATTTTTCTATTCCTTCTCTTCGCGTTTATAAATCAAAACAAATTCAGTAGAAAGTCTGCATTTAAGCATTAGTTTTCTTAGGTGGTGATCTTGTCTCCTTTAATACTCGCGCAGATGCCCCTTTTGATCATATTCTGGCAAACCACAGCAAGCTTTTTTGCGTAAAAAACAGGGCTCCATTGTCAGGTTCTGACCATTCCACTTTATTGTGTCTTCCAAAAACCTATTCCACTTCAAAACGTGCACTGCTTGCCAAGCCTGAGAGAATGGTTAAGGTTCGCAACACGTCCGTCCAAAACATTCTCATGCTTCAGACTTGCATTTCTCTTACTATCCCCACTTTCCTTGAACATTCTAATGTTTAATCCAGTTCTTCCAACCTGACAGCGTTTTTAAATGAAATTTTCGATATTTGCTGCCCTTTTGATACTGTTATGGTACGACCGGATATAACTTCTTTCCCCTATCTGAAATCGTTAAGACGTAAAAAAGAACTCCTTTACAAGCTAGGCTTACGTGATAACCTTAAGGACGTTACCGTCTTAATAAAAACAGAGATTGACGGGCTAAATAGCCTGTTTGTCAGCCAACTTTTTTCCTCTTCTTACTCCCCCCCCTTTCCCCCCTTCCTCAGCTGAGATTTGGAAAAATCTTAAGCGTCTCACTGGCCATCGCAACACGCTGGTGCATGTGGATGCAGATTTAGACTCCCTAAATAAAAATTTTATATTTAGTCACAATGACTCCCATCTTCCCTTAGAAGACATTCCCCTATCACCGAGTACATTCCAACCCGTGTCTTTGGCGACAGTAGAGAAACACCTTAAAAGGTCCGTGGATCAACAGCTGCCGGACCGGATGGTGTCTCGCCTTTTCTTCTTAAATCTTGCAGTTCTCAGATAGCCCCTATTTTAACGCACCTAACCAATATGTCTTTCATGGAGTCCAAGATTCCCGACGCCTGGCGTACAGTGAGAATCACTCCCATTTCTTAAAAGCCTGCTAACTTTGGTCCTAAATCTTTTCGTCCAATTGCCTGCTCCTCTGCAATACTAAAGCTTGCTGAAAGAGTTGCCCTAGATATCATAAAGCCTTTTTCTTCCAGTTTTTCCGACCCCTTACAATTTGCATACAAAGCTAAACGGAGTACTTTAGATGCTGTCGCTCTTGTGGTCCACTCTGCTCTAAAAGCATTAGACAAGGGTTGCCGCGAGTATGCGTGCGCTTTTCTTGATTACTCCTCCGCCTTCAATACCGTCCCGCGCCCTCTTCTCCTTTCCAAAACCTCCGCATGTGGCTCTCCAGGCTGGGTCGTCTCTTGGCTGAGCGATTATTTTACCTTCCGCATCCAATTTGTCCAATCTGGCAAGCGGAAATCTTCGACCCTTCCCAATGACTGCGGTGTTCTTCAAGGTTCCATTCTATCCCCTCACCTTTTCTACCTTCACACTGATGATCTCAGGTCCCCTAATGACTGTCTTCTGGTCAAGTATGCTGACGATGTGGTTGTTGGACACCCTCTCAAAAGTCAGACACACCTCCGGTCTCTAAAGGATGGCCTAAACCATGTCCTAGCGTGGTCGGAGGAAAATGGTCTCCTAATTAACAACCAAAAATCCGTTCAGTGTATTTTTCGACTGCGGCCCTCTCCTAATCCTGATTCCTCTGACATTCTTCCTAACGAAGTATCCTCTTTCAGGTATCTCGGCGTTACTTTGTCCTCAAATCTTTCTTTTTCCCTCCATATTGAGTCCCTATTTATTAAGGTTCGTAAACTTCTTTACTACATTCGTCGTTTACGTTCCTACTACACACCTCAACCCTTAGTCTGGCGATTCATTGATGCCTGCATTCTTCCTCTTATCCTATACTGTTCTCCTGTCATTTTTTCTGCTTTGTTAAAAAGGATCTTTTAATTTTGAAACTAATCCTCCGCATGCTCTCTTCTGCTGCTGCTGCTGCTGTTGCTGCTGCTGTTGCTGCTGCTGCTGCTGTTGCTGCTGCTGCAGCTGCTGTTGCTGTTGCTGCTGCTGTTGCTGCTGCTGCTGCTGTTGCTGCTGCTGCTGCTGCTACTGCTGCTGCTGCTGCTGCTGCTGCTGCTGCTGCTGCTGCTGCTGCTGCTGCTGCTGCTGCTGCTGCTGCTGCTGCTGCTGCTGCTGCTGCTGCTGCTGCTGCTGCTGCTGCTGCTGCTGCTGCTGCTGCTGCTGCTGCTGGCGTTTCTTACATTTTTTTAGTTGACACTATCTTACAACGACACTTCAATGCGGTCAAGCAATTTGCTGGTCGAATTCTAGATGACGTTGCCCATCCCCTACATTCCGATCTTATGTCTGCCAAGTCTTCCCGCCCGATGCGCCGCAACTTCCGTCTTATATCCTGTCGCACATCGGCTTATCGAGCTTCTGTATTGCCATTGCTAGAGCGCTATCTTACGTGCGAAGAGACAGAAATACAGAAGCTAAGACTTGAACTATCCCCATAATAATCGTTTCTTTGTGTTAAACTTTGACTCTTGAATAATCTATTAACTTATTTACTGCCCATAGTGAATGGAGCCAACTTCTTGCTGAAAATTTTGAACATATGATTTCAAAATAAAGCGCATTCCTCTCTCTCTCTCAATGACGTGCACTCAACATCCAACATCCTGGGATAGAACACCTTGTGATTCTACTATATGTTTTTCATAATTGTTATCCAGCCTTGATAACTCTTTCTAGCCAGACCACATTTCGAAATTTCAGTTAGTATTTCATGAATTCATCGATGTTTTGGCAGATTTTGAATAATTCATTTTGACCCAGCTGTGAAAAACTCCGCACCTCGGTGGGATTCGAACCTACGCAGTAAGAGGAAGGCTTAATACAGCCAACGGTCTAACCACTTAAGCTACGAGGCCCCGCCGGACGACGCCATTTTTATCACATTTGGATCAATTTACCCGCTCAACCCACCGCAACGTCTGGAATCCACCAAATCTGATACAGTAAGTTGACTGCCCAAACAGGATTTCCTAAGTAATTCACCTACAATCCACCAGATGACTACTAGGCTCATGTAATTCGCAGATGTTTTGGCAGATTTTGAATAATTCATACTGAGGCGCCGACTTTTTTCACAGTTGGGTCAATATAAATTATTTCATGAGTCTCTTAACCTAGCGTAAGCAAAGTAAGCACTGCAAAGAACAATATTTTATCCAGTCTTTTGTTACTGGAGAAATATAATTATTTGCCGACAAATTCGACACCGTTTGAGTACGC